AGGAAGGAAGGAAGGAAGGAAGGAAGGAAGGAAGGAAGGAGAAAACAGGGACAAGAGCTGTATGTAGTGACACTTGCTATAACGTCAGCTCTTAGGAAGACTAAGATAGGAGGATGATAAGTCTGAATCTAGACTGTGCTACATTAACAAGGCCTTGAAGATCATGCTTCAAGAAAAAAAATACATGGTGGAACAAGCAAAAGAAATATGAGAAACAGTCACCAAGAAATAAGGAAAATTAACAAAGCAAAGTACCCCAGAAGTCAAGTCAGAAAAGGGTTTCAAGGAGAAGGTATAACTGACTACAGCAAACACTGCTGGAATGTCAAGGAAGACAACTCTCAGAGTTAACCGATGGAGTTAGCAAAATATAAACCATTGCCGGTCTTGAAGGGATCATATACAGAGAAAACTATTCCCCAAGTCTCAATTTCTTAACTGTGATTTGGATAATAAAAGTAAATAACTCATATATTTGTGATAAATTAAGTAACACCAAGAATGGAAAGAAATGGCTTTCCCTTGGGACTGATAGGCAGAACAAAATTTTTAAATGTCATTGTAAAGCTAAGGAGTTTCTTTTTCATTATATGATTTTTAAAAAGAGGTATCATTAGATCAGCAAATTAAAATTCTTACCTCAATAAAAGCTGGTGAAGAGGTAGTCTGTTTTTTCTGAGACTTTTCTTCTTTCTCACAAGACTCTTTGATAGACATCTTGAGAAACTAAAAGAAACATGCAAAACATACTTTTTCACCACAATAAAAAGTTTATCACAAGCCACTCTTCTCTTAGTTACATAAGACTCGAGTTTTACAAAACAATTTCATTTTCTTGCCAAATCCAGCACAGCAAAAGCTAAAACTTGGTAGTTCCTGGGAAAGATCAGTGACCAAAAAGATTCACAGGGATTCTCTGGGTTTCTTTCATTGAGGAAAGCAGAACAACTTTATTTTACTGGGAGTGCCAGGCTTAGCTAGAGTTTTAGAGATACAGGCTCAAAGACATCTCAAGGCATACTTTCCCAAAAGACACAACTAAAGGCATTTCCTTCTGGCTGTTTTCCAAGACTTGGTAAACACAGGGAAGGGATTCTGAATTACAGGTTATCCTTGAACCTAGGTATGCCCTTTCAAGGAATTTCTAAATACTCTCAAGATGTGGTTGTTTACCCTCAGTGTCTTTTCTTATATTCTCTTGCCTAAAGATCTGCTCCTTCAGATTCATCAATCAACTTTTCAGGAATGGTTCTCAAGACAAAGCCTTGAAACTCTACCTTTTACCGTAAGCATCAGATTAGCATTTCTGACTTATTATTTTGCCCTACCTACACCTGAAAACATATTAACCATAATTCTTCATTTCTCAACACTATGTGATACTTCAAACAAATGGCATATATTTTTCTAAGCCCCAGTTTCATATTATGCAAAATAGAAACAACTTATCTCTGAATATTTTTGGTTTTGTTTTCATTTTGTTTTTAGAGAAACAGTTTCTCTGTATGGATCTGGCTGTCCTAGAACTAGCTTGTAGACCAGGCTGGCCTCGAACTAGGTAATCCAGCAGCCTCTGCCTCCTGAGTACATGGATTAAAGTGTGTGCCCCCACATCCGACCATAGAACATTTTTTAAGAAGCCAAAGAGTACAGTAGACATAAAAATTACTTTGACGTTGGTGAGATGGCACAATGGACAAAAGTCCTTTCTGCACAAGTCTGAAATCTTGTAGAGATTTGGAGACCGTGATATAATATGCAGGGATCGTGCCACCCGCATCAGGGGAGGTGTTGAGTACTGCCTTGGAATCTAAGAGAAGTTTCATGGAATGCTATGGAACATTTCAGAGTCCTCTGGCCTTGTTGCAAGTTTCACACACCCTGTGGTTTGTGGAAGTGGCTGCCCTGAGGCACAGTCCCTGCTTGAACCAGCTGTTCTGTTTACTGAAGGAAGTCTTAGATTAGATCACGTCTCTGGAGACCCTTGTTTAAAATAGGCCAGGATGTTTTGCAAGCCCTCAGACCACCCTTGCTACGTTAAGCTGCCTTGTGTGCATAATCTAAGTAAGTCGTTGGTTAGCTCATGATTTATAGTTCCTCTTTTAGATAAAGCTGTTGATTGAAGCAATTGTTTCAAAAGTGTATAAAAAGATTGCTTAATAAATGCGCAGCATGCAGTTGCAAGGGCTGCTTTTGCTCTGCAGCCCCCGTGTCCTGGTTTGTTCGTGACCCTTGCCCAGGGACCCCGACAAAACCTGAGTTTCATCTCCCAGCCACACAGTAGGAGAGAAGTGATTCCTGAAAGTTATCCTTTCACTTCATACGCACACACACTGTGACAAGTACGCACCCACACTTATGCACACACAATAATAAAAATTTTTAACTACTTTGCACAAAGTTATATATAGTAGAATCTAAATAAAAACCTATGTGATTGGCTTTCTATTAGACCTAGAGTTCCTTGAAAAGTGTGCTACATAAAAAACTTGGAAGGCAAATAGGCTTAATAGATACAACATGCCTATAATCTCAGCATTTTGGAAGCTATAGCAGGAAGATTGCTCCAAGTCCTAAGCCAGATGGGTCTACATATTAAGTTCTTCAGAGTAAGACTCTATTTAAAAGAACAAAGCAAAAACTGGAGAAATATTCATGAATGACTAAGTAAATGAATGAGTGAATTCATTCTCCTTAATGTATCAACTTTTTTATTCTGAGTTATTTCCAACTCTTTCCTAAACCACAGAATTCTCTGTTCATTTCCTAACCCAGTTTCACTTTTTCAGCCCCACTTTAGACCAAGACAATACTATTAGCCAATGACAAAAAGAAAGACAGAGAGAGGGAAAGAGGGAGAGAGGAGAGAGAGAGGGAGGAGAGAGGGAGGGAGGAAGAGAGGGAGGGAGAGAGAGGGAGAGAGAGAGAGAGAGAGAGAGAGAGAGAGAGAGAGAGAACAAAGCAACAGAAAAGAAATGTGTTAAGACAAGTATAGTCATACCTTATGATCATAAACAGTCTCAAGCTTGTGGGCACTGGTAGTGCAGAGAAGCATTTTGTGGTGGGATATGGTGGTCAAAGATTGGACACATCACCAAGTCTGTTACGGCAGGACAGAATGAAAGCCCGAAAAACAGTTAAAAACTGGCAATGGCAATATGAATATAACAAAGGCTATAAGCCAAGTAATCCAATTATTCCTAGTTAGTCATAAATCAAATAGGTAAAGGTGTATAAAATAAGATCTCCCAGCATTAGGGAGGCCGTGGAAGGCTACACAGAGAGACCCTGTCTCCAAAACACCAAACCAAATAAAATAATATCTAATGAACTTGAATAAAAACAAATGCTGGTAGCTAATGGGGGGGGGGACTTACAAAATTAATACATGAACAGTTAACAAACTTCTAAAAACAATCTCCTAAGTACCAAAAATGTTTGCCTTCAAGGATAGTCTATGATAACAGCTCAATTCATGCTTCTGGCTTTTTCTCTCTTGTCTAAAGAATTTAATTCCAGTAGCATGGATGATACAACAAAAAAGAAAAAAAAAGAACAACAAAAAACTCTCGAGTCTGGCCTGATGGCCTTTGATATCTATAGTCTCAGTTACTTAAAGGCTAAGGCAGGAGACCAGACTGAGTCCCGGAATTCTAAGTCAGCCTGGATTGTTTCTTAATATAAGACACTGCTTACAGAGTATGAGGCTGCCCTTGACATTTTCGCTGATTCATCTCAGTTTGATGTTGTTGCTTTGGATACACTAATATCTGAAACTTCTCTTCCAATGAGATAGTAGAAAAAAAGCACTAGACAATGTACTATCCAAGGAAAAGCATCTGCCACAGTTGAGACTTGTACTGAAGAAATAAAGGCCATGACTAAAAACAAGCTGGGAAGGAAAGGATTTATACTTCCATATCACAACAGTCCACCAATGGACTAAATAAATGAAGTAGGGGCAGGACAGGGCAGGCAGGAGCTGATGCAGAAGCTATGGAGGAGTGCTGCTTACTGGTTTGTTCAGTCTGCCTCCACAAACACTCCAGGACCTCCTGCCCAGAAGTGATAGCACCCACAATGGGTTTTGCCCTCCCACATCAACTACTAATTTAAAAAGTACCCTAACCTGGTACTCAACTTCATTTGGAAAAGCAAAAAACCCAGGATAGCCAAAACAATTCTGTACAATAAAAGAACTTCTGGAGGTATCACAATCCCTGACTTCAAACTCTACTACAGAGCTACAGTACTGAAAACAGCTTGGTATTGGCATAAGAACAGACAGGAGGACCAATGGAACCGAATAGAAGACCTGGATATCAATCCACACATCTCCAAACACCTGATCTTTGATAAAGAAGCAAAAAATATCAAATGGAAAAAAGAAAGCATATTTAACAAGTGGTGCTGGTATAACTGGATATCAATATGTAGAGGAATGAAAATAGACCCATACCTATCACCATGCACAAAAACTCAAGTAAAAATGGATCAAACACCTCAACATAAAGCCAGCCACACTGAACCTTATAGAAGAGAAAGTGGGAAGTACATTTGAATGCATTGGCACAGGGAACCACTTCCTAAATAGAACCCCAGCAGCACGGACACTGAGAGAAAAAATTAATAAATGGGACCTCCTGAAACTGAAAAGCTTCTGTAAGGCAAAAGACATGGTCAACAAGACAAAATGACAGCTTGAATTTTGCAGGAAAATGGATGGAGCTATAAAACATTATTTTGAGTGAGGTAACCCAGACATAGAAAGACAATTACCACATGTACTCACTCATAGGTGGTTTTTAAACATAAAGCAAAGAAAGCCAGCCTACAAACCACAATCCCAAAGAACTTAGACAACAATGAGGACACTAAGAGAGATTTAAACAGATATAATCTGCGTGGGAAGTAAAAAATAGAAAAAGACAAGATCTCCTTAGTAAATTGGGAGCATGGGGACGTTGGGGGAGGATTGAAGGAGGGAGAGGAGAGGCAGGGAGGGGAGCAGAGAAAAATGTAGAGCTCAATAAATATAAATAAGAAAACAAACAAACAAATAAAAAAAAGTACCCTAACCAAAAGAAGTAGCACATGCATTTAATTCGAAACTCTGGAAGACAGGCAGATCTCCATGAGTTCCAGGCCAGCCTGGTCGTTTTGGGAGGTGGTGGTGGTGGTGGTGGGTATAGTGTTTTATAGTGAGTTCCAGACCAATCAAAGCTAAAAGGTGAGACCCTGTCTCAAAAAAAAACAAACAAAAATGGAGACATTTTCTCAATTAAGATTCCCTCTTCCCAGATATGTCTCTACCCTATGTCAACTTGACCTAAAACTAACAAACAACGCATTCCTGTGTACTATGACATTCTTTAAATTCATTTTGTCATAAAGTTTACATTCCTTTATATGCAAATTAAAACAAATAACTGAAGAGGATTTTCTTCAGTTTCTTCAGTGAGCAGTTCTCTAGATTCCAGCGTCTTAAACTATGGGTTACAACCTTATATTAGCAACATTAAAGGGTTTCTGAACACACAAAGACTAAAATTAATTGAAAGTCATGTGTAATGAATCCTAGATGTTTCTGGCTACACTCACAGTACTGCATCGAGTGACACCACTGCAGCCTTGAACACAATATACACGAACTTTGCATTGCACATGCCTTCATACCCACAAAACCCCAGCTAATGCTACCTTTAGTACCTTCGCTCATATGCATGGCTGCTGTATGTCATGAATTGCAGTGTTGGTTTTTTATTTTTTTTATTTTATTTATTTATTTATTATGTATACAGTATTCTGTCTGTGTGTGTGCCTGCAGGCCAGAAGAGGGCACCAGACCTCATTACAGATGGTTGTGAGGCACCATATGGTTGCTGGGAATTGAACTCAGGACCTTTGGACGAGCAGGCAATGCTCTTAACCTCTGAGCCCTCTCTCCAGCTCGAACTGCAGTGTTTTTACTGGACATGCAAAATTTTCCTTATAGAAACACATTAATAATGGCTTGATTACAGAAAACAAAGAATTTTAATATCTTCCTACAGCACTCAATTATTACATCTTTGGACTATATTGCTTTAGAATGTTTGCATGCAAATTGCTGTTTGAGTTGCTGACTTCAGTTTCATATTTCAAAAATGTTAAATTAATTTTGGTTTGATATTAGAGAAAAATTTCCAATAATTTTTGAAATGATCATAGAGATACCCATTACATATTTATGTGAAACAATATTCTCAGCACTGATTATTATAAAATCAAAATTATCAATCAATCATCTCTGAAAAACTGAAGTACTTACAGTATCAAATATTCAGCTAAAATTTAACTATCATTTTGTCTTTGATAACTCATGCTAGGGAAAGCCAGACACCAAGTCCTAAATGACACCAAGTAGCTCATGGAAAGTCACACACAGCAACCAAAACCAAGTTTCAGACAAGAGAGTGACTTTGAAGCTGACCCTTGTCAACTCTTTACATGACAGTGGACCTTGCAGATAGTTTGGAACTGTATCCTCATTAAATACTCAAAGCCACATCTGCCCAGGAAGCTAATTTTAATTTTTAGCTCCACAAAACCTGTGGGACTTATGTTTATTATTGCTTTAAGATATGAAAGAACAGTTGGATAATGAAGACAGACCTAAGCGCACCTCTAAGTTCGAGGTCAGCATGGTCTAGAGAGTAAGATTCAGGACATTCAGGGCTACATTGAGAACCCCTATCTCAAAAAATAAATAAATAAGTAAATAAATAAAAGATATAAGATAGCTTATTTGGCAACACAACTGATGTTGAAGAATACTCCCTTAAGTCTTCAAACTGAAAATTCTTTCATACTTAGAAATTCTGAACTAAAACTGCCACTGAATCCCCTTGCTACCATTAACTTAGTGTGTTATTTAGATGGCATTAAATGAGATTAAAATATTGAATCAAGCTTTCAAATTAGGCATTTAATTGAATGCTGAGGATGTCTTTTAAAGATAAGATACAGTGCTTCCTATCCATACCCAAAGTCCTGGGTTTCATCCTCAACCTCACAAGGTGCTGCAAGAGCACAAGAATAAAGGGTAGGGGTGGGGGAGTTCAGGAAATTAAAAATAATGTCAAGTCTTGGATGGTACACTGATACAGTTAGCATTTCTTTAAGTTGTAATTGGTGCCATTATCTCATTTCTAATGACTGTTAAACGGTCAGTCAACTCTACACACAAGAATACTCATCAAGGGCTGGAGAGATGGCTCAGAGGTTAAAATGCTCTTCCAGAAGTTCTGAGTTCAATCCCCAGCAACCACAGGGCTCACAACCACCTCTACTAAGATCTGATGCCCTCTTCCGATGTGCAGGCATACATGCGGACAGAATACAGTATACATAATAAATATTATTTTAAAAAAGAATACTTGTCAAAAAGAGGTGATAGATTGACAAAAAGGGTTTTAGCTGTCTGGTAGTATCAGGCCTCTGACGTAAAAGCTTGTGAGCTAAGCAAATACTCTACCACTGAGGTAAGCACATTCGCAGCCTTAAAGGGACTTTAGAACTTGCAGAAGATTCCTGGACAATCTATTAACAATAAACCGGGAAAGGAAAAACACATTCAAACACACTTTCTAACTAGGAGAATGAAAAGGTGAATTTCCAGACAGCACTTCAGAGGGTCACATAAGCAAGTGTCATTTCTTACGCTTTCCCAACAGAGGAAGAAACAGACCAGCGAGCAAAGACTTGACCCTATTAAGCAAATACTTGACCACCCTCGAAGTGTGGGTTTTATACCTGCCTTTAACATTCATTCAAGAGAGTCCCAAGTGGGGCAACCAAAATGGAAATTCTTTTTTGTTTTGTTTTGTTTTATTGTTTGTTTTGCTTTTTTCCGTCTACTCCAATGCGCGTCTCAGAAATAAAGAGAAAAGAACGAGTAAGGCTTCGGTGCCATACAAGCCCAGGATAAAAACGATAAAATCTGGGATACAGAGGATTCATTGGTCACCTACCTTGGAGAATCTAAAATGCATCTGAGTGTCCCGGTTGCGCAGATCTCTGTTTTTAAAAGTCTAAAACCAGGTCAAAACAGCAAAAACCATCTCCCACAACCACACCGCGCTTGTTCTGGTAACGCTGAGGCAAAACAGTAGGAGAAAAGAGAGGTCTGCTCAGGAGCTTGAGGAAAGTTGGGAATGGGGGGGCGGGAGCAGACGCGGGACTCTTCCTCAGCGCGGCTGACTGAAAAGCGCCACCGCACCGCGAGCCCTCCACAGCCTAGGCCCACCCCCTCGGAAGCCGTCATCCCCTCAGCACAGCTGGAGCAACCTGGCTCCCAGTCACACCCTCCACAGAGAGGGCCGACAGCCGGCCAGCCAACAGAGTCGTCCCGCCACACCTCGGCCCGCAGTTCCCGAGCCCGACAGGCATCTGGGTAGCCGAGACAGGAGCGGAAGGCTGTCGCCCAGCGAAAAGCCGTGAGTCCCGAAAACCCTAACTTACCAGCGCCGGAGGCAGAGGCGGAGGCGGTGGCGGCGACTCCCAAGTCCCCGCGGGTGCCAAAGACGCCTTCCTCGAGCCCGCTGCACGCTGGGAAATGTAGTTCTGCGCTCTGACCCAACCAAGCGCCGAACACTCCAGGGAATTCTAGAGTTCTCGGAGATCTCTGTGTACTTCCTCCGAGGACCGGAACTGAGCCCCGCCCGGGGGGCGCGATGCTCCTGGGTATTGTAGTCTTAGCTCGGTTCGGTGGCGGCCTGTGGAGCACAGAGGCACCGAGGAAACGGAATTCTTACTCCTCATTGGACAGTGCCCGCGACGCGCTTCTGCGCAGTCTGTGGTGGCGTCGTAACGCCTCGGGGAAGGGGAAGCCGGTGAAAGCTCGAACCGCTGCCTCTGGCCCTCTGCTTTTCGGCTGGCAGGGCTGTGTTACTGACGCCTTGCTGTTCGTCTGTGGCACCCGTGCAGCCTTCCCATTTGCTTCCCCCGCCCTGGATCCAGCCCTGTGGGCATTAACGTCAATTCTCTTGCTCCGTCGCGAGTCCCCTCCGCGTCCCCTGGCACGGAGGCCGTAACTATGGAGAATATGGCGGAGGAGGAGCTGCCACCCCAGGAGGAGGAGGAGGCCCAGGTCAGGGTCCCGACCCCGGCCCCGGAATCGGCTCCGGTCCCAGCTCCGGCCGCAGATTCGGCTCTGGACTCGGCTCCGACGCCGGACTCGGCTCCAGCCCCAGCCCTTGCCCCGGCCCCGGCTCCGGCCCTGTCCCCGTCCCTAGCCTCTGTCCCCGAGGAGGCTGAAAGCAGTAAGTGCAGACGGCCTGATCTTTCTGCCGCAGAGAAGCGAGTAACCTTTCCTCGCTTGGGGAGGCCCTTCTCCGGGGTGGTTTTTAATGTGGAGAGGCAGATTTAGGGAAATGGGAGGAGGAACGAGAGCGGCAAGAAGGAATATAGAATGGAAGGGGGTACCTCCGTAAACCTCGAGGACATCATCATGAAAGATACATGAAGGCCAGGGGTGATGCAGATAAAATAAACAATGAGATTAGTGGCGTTGTCGGTTAGTGTGTCTAGTAGTTTCCGTCTCAACCCAGTCTACAATAGTTAAATAACTCCTTTCAAGTGTGTTACAGTAACGGAGGCAGCCTCTGAGGTGAGATCCTGTCAAGATTTAGAAACTGTAAACTGATTTTTCAATCAGGACGTACACACACACACTCAGGTGGATTTGTCTTACTAAATTTTCTGTAGTATATCTTCCTTCCAAAAATAATTTGAAATCCATAGACACGAACCTGCTAAAAGCCAATTGAGCTTTGTACTTCATTCCATCAGAAGACGATCGTGAAAACTTAATAGTTCATTCTTTTGTTCCCTGAATGTGTTTATGTGTGTTCTTAGTGATGGTTTATTGGATCATCATATAGGAAACCCAAGATTGATAATTAGCACTTTAAGAACCTTCTTTAAAAAAAAAAAAGACCTTAACACTATACAGTGAGCCTAAGAAAGAGTCAACAAGTTCTTTCAACACATCTTGTAGTTCATAAATTGATCTTTATTGATCTTTATACTCTTTCCAAATTATCACTTATGAGAAATTAATACATATTTACTATTTCTAAGCCAACTTGGGGTTTGATGTATATAAAACAGTCATAATCTAAAAGAATTATTTTGCAGTTCTAAAACTACATTTAAGAGTTGCAGGGCTAGTCACAGGCAAAACAAAATCAGCCAGTGGGGGCTTCTGATCATTCGCAATCACAGCTTGCAGTGCAAAATAAGGCTGGCCCTTCTTTCTTCCTTCCTTCCTGTCTTCCTTCCTTTCTCTCTTTACAGTCTGATGCACAGAGAATTTCCTACTCTTAAGGAAGTAGCTACTGTCCTCCTGATTATGTTAAATAAAAATAGTTCAGCAGTTTGGGGAATGCATGCCTTCTTGACCCCCCTCACCATTTTAATACCTCGACACGGGGCATAGATAGTGGCTCCACATGGTAGTGCATGCCAGTAATCCTAGCATTTGACAGACTATCAGGAGGGCTGATAAATTAGAGATTAACCTGGTCTCTTTAAGGAGACATCTTCTCAAAAGTGTAAGTGTTAGGGGACAGGGGCTGGAAACATTTGCATATAAATGCTAAAATAAATGTGTAACTTGAATATACTGTTTAAGAAAGCTTCAAACACACACTAATCATCTAAAAATGTATTTTCAGTTGATGTAGTTAGTCCTTTGAAGTTAGTCATAGCAGCCAGGCAAGATGAAGATGGTAATTCTGAACTAGAGTTGAAAATTGAGGAAGAAGTAACAGAAGTTGTGAAAGAACCTTCTAGTTTATTTGGTTTATCTGATTTAACAACAGGTTTGCTTTCTTGATTATTAGTATGTTACAAAAAAAAGTTGACTGATTTAAATACAGAATGATATCGACCATGTTAAGCCAAAAAGTGATTTTACAGATAATTCTAGGCTTATGACGAATTTTCAGACAGGTTTTTTGTTTATTTGTTTTTTAGTTTCCTTCAGTAGTGGACAGCAGCATTTTCAGTTTGCTTCTCCTAACTTAGTAGGCTCTTTCTCTTGTTTTGCACAACCTGGCAGAATAGTTTAAGCACACCTTTATACAGCATATATAACTTGTTGCACATACATGTCTGGACCATGAAACAACCTTTCATGATTTCAAATGTGGTAGTTTAGTATGTACACATGGATTCTTTTTTGATCATTACTGTCAATTCTAAAAACTAAGGATGCTTTTTTCCCTCATATATCTCATTTTAACTTTTTGAGTGCAGCCTGGTATGTGAGGTGCTCAAGCCTGTAATCCCAGCCTTTAGGAGACTGAGGTAGGAGAATAATGGATTTCAAGCCAGCATGTGCTGCATAGTGAGTTCCAGTCTTAGCTATACAGTGAGCCCTATCTCAAAAAGTAAAAAACCTAATACAGTATTTGTCATTCTGCTTTTGCTTAGGAAATTGTTTGAGCAGAAATGTCTGATGGTGTTTGATTCCGAAGTTGGGATAAAAATGTGCTGCTACCTTCAAAAAGTAATGGTTGCTGGGCGGTGGTGGCACACACCTTTAATCACAGCACTCGGGAGGCAGAGGCAGGTGGATCTCTTTGAGTTCGAGGCCAGCCTGGTCTATAAGAGCTAGTTCCAGGACAGGCTCCAAAACTACAGAGAAACCCTGTCTCAAAAAAACAAACAAACAAACAAAACTAATGGTTTTTCAAAACTACTTATCTATCCTTAGTGCCTGCTGAGTACCAGTTCTGTGCTTGACATTCAGCCACCAGAAGGATAAATCAAGTATAACTGCTGCCTTTTTATTTACTATGAGAAAGAAGGAAAAAAGGACACAGATTATGCACACGTATGAATGAGTGGACTGAGAATGGAGCTGGTAGACAGGAAGGTGGCAGCATCAAAAACTGAATTAAAATATTTGAGGCTTTAAATTATTTAGCATATTGACTGGACCTGAGATTCCATTCTCTTTGGAGATGTTCATCTGTCAGGTAACATCCCCTGGCCTTATGAGTTCGGGTTCCCACTCTGTAAGAATGCCTTTCCTTTGGAATGCCTATGTATTCAGAACGCTTCATCTTTAGGAAGAACAAACTGCAGTTTTTATCTGTCTCCTTTTCTGCAGTACCAGAGTCCTGAAAAGACATCTACACTGGGTTTTGTGCTGATATTTTATTTGTATTTTAATAAATAAATCTTGCCTGAAGATAAGATTGCAAAGCTAAAGCTACTAGAAGCCAGGGAGTGGTGGCACACACACTTTAATCCCAGGAGGCGGGCGCAGATTGATCTCTGTGAGTTCAAGGCTATCCTGGGCTACACAACAATGATCCAGCAAGAGACCCAGGTGGTGGCCACTCACACCTTTAACCCCAGTGTTTGGGAGACACACACTGCTAATCCCGCCACTAGGAAGGTGGAGAGAGGACTATAAAGGAGAAGAGACAGGAACTCACTGGAGTGTGGAGTCTGAGGATTCATGAAGACAGGATCTTGTTCTTTTGGTCTGAAGATTTGGTAGAGGTAAAAGGTCTCTTTAGTGACTGGCTGCTTTGCTTTTCCGATCTTCAGCCTGAACCACAGGATCTGTCTCTGGGTTTTTATTATTCATGCTACAGGTTTTCTGGATTTGCTTTCTCTTTCCTTTTGATTATCTATTCTTTGCACTTTTTCAAGATCACAGGAAACTGGATGGTGATGGCATACACCTTTAATCCCAGCACTCAGGAAGCTGGGGCAGGCAGATCTGAGTTTGAGGTCTACAGAGCCAAGTTCCAGGACACCCAGGGATACACAGAAAAACACAAGAGACCGTTTACTAATACAGTAGTGTTTTCTTGTTTATTCCAGCTGTAATACTTAGTTATGTGCATTCCTCTCTTACACTTTTCTCCTTTGGCTGCTCCTCCTCGATTCACCCTGCCCATTTATTCTTTCAGATTCTACCTTCCTGCTTCTTTTGACTCAACTTCTCTTTCCAGTCACTTGTAGATTATTTACTACTTTACTCAGTAGTAGATTTAACAGTTTAAGACTGCTGCCCCACCACCAGCACACACACATACATACTAAACGAAGTGCATGGTCCAGCATATTTCAGGAAACTTAACTTATAATTTCCAAGCATTTGACTTGAGGAATGTGTTGTGTTTAGGAAATCTCAAAGTGCATAACAGACAAAAATGGTTGGGAAACATAAACTGTATTAGAATTGAAACACATGTTAGTTGCATTTAAGAACTAATTTTCTGGCTGATGAGATGGCCTTGTAGGTAAAGGCATTTACCGC